CAAAATTAAATAAATACGAAGAAAAATTCTCTTTTCAATTAACATAAATTAAAACAAAAGTGTTCTATTTTAGGAACCGGAAATACTAGCTCAGATGGCGCGTACAAACCCTCCTTCCTCACCGATCAAGAGCTGAAACACCTGATCCTCGAAGCAGCGGATGGTTTCCTATTCGTCGTCAGTTGCAACAGCGGAACGATCATCTACGTATCCGATTCTGTGGCGCCGGTTTTGAACTACACACAAAATGATTGGTACGGCACCAGCCTCTATTCACAGGTTCATCCGGACGACACAGAGAAAGTGAAGGAACAATTGAGCGGTGCCGAGCCGGAAAATGGAGGCAGAGTGCTGGACCTGAAAACGGGGACGGTAAAAAAGGAAGGACAGTGTAAGTATAATTTTTTTTTCCTTCTTGTATAACGCATATTTAAATAATTTACAGTAATATCTCAATCTTATTTTTTTCCAAAAATTTCTCCTCTTTTTCCAAAAAATTGTACCAAAGAATTCCATCGTATTATTAAGATCGAATCAGCCTCGTTCTGAATCAAATTAACCTATTTTCGTAACGCTTGAATTACCAGCTAAAAATCTAATTGAATTATATATATTACAATCATGGAGAATATCAATACCAATAAATCATTATATATATAGAATACAACTATTTCAATTAATTATCAAATTTCCAAAAGTACGTTAAAAACTAACTTAACCTAACTTCACAGCATCGATGAGACTATGCATGGGATCGAGGAGAGGCTTCATTTGTCGCATGAAGGTGGGCAACATGCAAACGACAGGCGACATGGCGGCCGCTCATGGCCTCCATCACGTAAAACAGAGGAATTCGCTCGGTCCACCGGCCCGCGATGGCCAAAATTACGCGGTGGTTCATTGTACAGGGTACATCAAAAGCTGGCCCCCAAACGGTAAGTTTGATACGGGTCGCGGCATCGATCTACCTTGTTCCGAATGATGAGGATGATGATGTACATAACGTCGTCAACGTATAACGGGTCCCGGTCTGTTGATGGCCGCGCGCGAGACGTAGCGCCAACTTTCTATTTTAAAGCCGAGGGAGACGTCGGTGTGCACCAAGAATATGAACGAACCAGGCGGCTTCGTAGAATACACGAGGATAACGACGTTTGTACTATAAATTAAGGGGGCCGGCACTCGGTGGCGAGCACGGATAGTATGATCGGTTTATAAAGAATGAATGGAATCGTCTTGACCTAACAGCCGACAAGAATGGCTGGAATACCGATAAACTATGTCGAGACAGGGAATTCGTATACCTTATCCGCGGACCCCGATGCATAATAACGATGCGAACGATTTTCGCACGTTTCCGCCTTCGACTTTAACTCTTTCGAATTTTATTCTCCCGTCGAGTTTTTGTCGTTCTATTTGTAAAAGCTTCGAGGAAGATTTTTTTACTTGGAAAAAATAATTTAAAATAATCTATCGTTAAAATCGATTGTAAATTTTATACGCGTGTTTAGCGGTATTGTTTACCAGAAATTTTTATTTCGATTGAACAAAATATTAATTATAGAATCGTACGAATCACGAGAAGAGTTATTTTTGAAGTTAAACAGATTTATTACGTTATTATTTCATTCGCCATCGAGCGCTTCGAGATAAAAATCTTAACTATTTTAAATCAATTTTTCAGAGAATTTACATTTAAAGTAAGACTTAAAATAATTTCAAGATGGATAGAATTGAATAAAATTATTTGAAAAAATATTGCTAATTAATATTAAAATGGAATAATTATCAATATTCCGAATTCTATCCATCTTAAACAGCATATATAGCATATATATATATATATATATAGCAGCATGTAAATCATAATCATTTATCGATTATGAGGAACCATGGATTGATTTATCGTTTTACGCTGTAGGTGATTTTGTTCCCCCATGTGTACCAGGTATGGGACTAGCTGATAGAGAGGCTGCCGGTGTTCCAGTCGGACCTGATGGTGTAGTTACAGACGAGAATGTTAGCAGTCACTGCTGTCTGGTTGCCATTGGGCGACTACAGGTCACTAGCACGCCAAATAGTAGCGATTTAGCGGGTTCAAATAGCAATAACGGTAAGTATCAAGTGTCCTCATTATCAAACAAGAATATTTCGAGTCAAGATTAATTAATTCTCACTCTCTGATGTTTCAGAATTTATTTCACGTCATTCAGCAGAAGGTAAATTTACCTTTGTAGACCAAAGAGTCGGAGGAATTTTAGGATACACACCTTCCGAGCTCCTAGGTCATCCGTGCTACGAATTCTTTCATCCTGAAGATTTAACGCATATGCGAGAAAGTTTCGAACAAGGTAAAAATTTCTCAAGACAATAAAAATTAATTGTATGCACGTTCCTTATTGTTAATAGGTATCTGTTGTTACAGTACTAAAGCTGAAAGGACAAGTGGTATCTGTAATGTATAGATTTCGAGCCAAAAATCGTGACTGGGTATGGTTAAGGACGTCTGCATTTGCATTTTTAAATCCGTACAATGATGATGTTGAATATATCGTCTGCACAAATACACATGCCAAGTATGAATCCGTTATACCGGATATTAAATATTTTATTCTTTTATTTTGTATCATACAGATGTATTCTTCGATTTTAACACGATCACTTTATTATATTCTTGCTTATTTTCTTTATTAAATTTTGTAAAAATAAAAATTGTTCTATATCATGTATGATTTATAAAGAATTGCGATCGTGTTAAAATAATAAGTGAAAATAATAAAATAAATAAATCATTTGTGTTTTGATTTCAAGGTCATTCCATCCTGGTAGCGATGGTCAGACAGAAAATGAAGCTGTACCTGCTTATGGACAACCTGGTTTGGATTATTCTCTTCAAAGACATCCTGCTAGGGATCCTCTCTATTCTGGGCATCATATGATGCAACATCCAGCAACTGTTGCCACAGCTGGTAAATTATTTAATTTTATATTCTTTTGTTATCATTATTATTATTATTATTATTATTATTATTATTATTATTATTATTAAGTCTACAATTGTATTACAATATAATCATAAATTCATTAGGTCCCCAGCAGCCTAGGCCGTCCAGTACACAAAATGTTTATCAGGGATATGAAACAACACAGTCACCTATAGCTTATGGCTCGCCTGGTCAGCAAAGTGCATCTTCATCAGTTTTAAGTAGAATTCAGAAACCAGCTAATACATCGCCAACTCCAGTACAACAAGCATGGGCTATTGGAAGACAAGTAAATAACATAGTAATAATCTAAATTATGTTTAATAAAAAAAAAATATTATAGAAAATAACTTTATAATATTACTTATTATATTAGCAACCTGTAACAGAAGGATATCAGTACAATCAATTAAGTCCTTCGAGGTCACCAAATGGACCAACTTATACTCAATTAAGTAGCGGTGCTAGAACACCGGCTACGCAATATCATGCAGTCACAACAGTACCTAATAACCCCGGTAATTTAAAATGATTTATCTGAATATTCGTTTTATTTAATCTTAATAATAAGAATAAAAAAGTTAATAATTGAGTTTTTTTTAGGAATGTGGGGATGGCAAAGTCAGCAACATCAAGCACCTCAACAAGACGGTGGACAATCAAATCCTCAAGTGACTGGACAAGCGCAACAACCTCATCCTTCTCAAGGTGGACCTGGCACGCAACCTCAAGAATTATCAGATATGTTACAGATGCTACAAGATCAAGGTGGAGCGTCTGGTTTCGAGGAATTAAATATGTTTAATACTAATTTCGAGTAGCGACAACAAAATAATATGAAAGATAAACATCTACCTTAAAGAGAGTTTTAAGGTTCGAATTTCATTGATAAAAAGATTGTTTCGTAAATCACTTACTTCAGCATTTAATGGTGATATGAGAATTCGCCAATCAGCACCTCACACATAAACTTTAATTGAATTGACTAATTTACCATAGATTCATCTGACATTTATAATTAATTTATGAGTGCTTCCGTTTTGCGAGAAGTTTCTATTTTATTGGTTTACAATACGATTTTAATGACCGTATCAAAGTTTGCGCAATTAAATTATTCGAAATTCGTGAATATCATTTTACGAAAGTGCCATTAAATGTTCTATTTGAAAAATAGAATATATAAAGTGGAAACTTATAATATGCACAGATGGATCATTTGATAAAATTTAGAAAGCTTTTAATGAAATACGAGGTTTTCTAGCATTTAATATGACAAACAAACAGAGTAGAATTATTTTCAACAGGAAATTAATTAATTTTTGAGTTTTTCTTTTTTTTTTTTTTTTTTTTTTTCTTAATATAATTAAAATATAGATTAGTATTGAGCGAATGATTGTAAAATTCTTTTTTTTATCATTTTTTTCTATTGATTTAATAAAATAGAAAAAACCAATTTAAAAGAAGACAGTGTAAATTAAGAAATGACTTTTTAACTCTTCTCACTGTTAAAGAAAGAAAATGCAATTATAGTAACGTAAGTTATATTTAAATTGTACATTGAAGTTTCAAGAACGATTGAAGATAACAGAGAGTTTGAAATTTCATTGAATTGTTGTTAAATGAATGTAAGTATATGTATAAAATTTTGGATAAAAAAGAAAAGGCAAAAATGCGTGTAAGATTTGTAATTGTTTAAGAAAAAGTGATTGTTCATTAAGATTTCAAATGAAAATGTATTGGATTATATGCATTTTGTATGATTATTATCACTTTACATTTTTATAGAATTTTAACGCCTCATCTGTGCTTATTAATAAGTAATAGAGAGTAATTTCTCTCCTTTTTTACGTAGCGATTTTATTTCAGAGAGGAAACTAGTATACTTCGATAAACGTTTAGAAAAAATGCATTCTAAACGATAAGAAAAAAACAAAAAATAAAACAAAGTATTTTTAAAAATTTCTTAATCAAACTTAAACATAAATCATGGTAATTTTAATACCAGCTTATGATTAGATTTTTAAGATTAGCTTAGTTATTTTATTTTAGATCTTTGTAATTATAAATAGTGCAATCGTCAAAATCGACGCTGAACGAAAAGCATTGTTTGAATTCACCAACAACAATAATGTACAAAAAGTTATATGTAATCCACTTTGCTTCTCTGTGCAAACAAAAAAGGCAAACACCATTTTTAGATATTTCTAAAGAAAATATAGATAATGTTACACATACAAAAGCATAATTGCATTTATAAGTAACCGCGTGTGATTTAGTGCATTGTAGATGTACATGTCTAGCAAATTCTTATTAAGTAGATCGAAAGAACAGTTGCAGCATATCATGATGAATTGGGAACATTTGTCACTAATATATATAAAAATTTACATTACACGTATAATTGTTTTTAATCATCCTTTGTCGAAAGTAGCTACGATTACTGACAATAATTAACATATTGAAGTCGACGAAGGCATCAATATGTATAACGCAATTAATTGATTAAACTTCAAAACATACTTATGAAGCATTCTATAATCCTTTCTCCTTTTTTAATGTTAAGATTATTCTTTCTTCATTTTTATTAAAAATATATTATACAAAGTATTTTTGTTTTAAAAAAAAAATCTGTATAAAATGAACTTACTTACTTATTACATTTTATGTAATGATAAAAAGAATAGGTTGCAAGAAATTAAATATCAATTATACAATATCTTTAATTTGTATTTAAATATTTGTACAAAAATTATAATTTTAATTTTTTTGCAGATAGAACATTCTTTTGTTTTTTCTTACTATCTGTATTAATTTTTGCTTTAATGTGACTTTTCACTTCGTCTTGTAATTGAGTGAAAAAGGCTGTCGAAGTTTTCGGAGCTTTGAAACTTGACTCATCCATTCTTATAATATTTCGATTTTTACTTAATTTCTTTGCCAATTCTGTAGTCTTTTCTTTCTTATATTTCTTAGCAATACCCGGCTTGATTGCATTCAATTTCTCCTTTTTCTCTATAGCTTGTTGCCGCGCACGTTGTCTCATCTTCTTACGTCTTCGTTCACGTTTCATATCCGTTTTGGTTCTTTCTGCTTTACCAATCAAATCGCCTCGTGGTTTCGCTGAAAAAAATAACAAAAAATATAATCAAATTTTATATAAATATGTATATTTAAATTTATTATTTGATTCTTTTTATTAAACGTACCTTTAATTTCTTCTGGAGCTAATAAGGCAGCATCACTCATTCCGACTGGGGCTACTTCTTCCATATTGATTGCGGGCATATTATTAATAATTTTAATCTCTGGTTGAACCTAGAAAAAAAATATGCAATATTAATTATTGATAAAAATATAAAAAATTGCAATATAAAAAACATTTTTTTTTAATAATAGTCATACCTGTTTTGGTGTATAATGGAAATTAGATAAAGCATCTAATTTGGAAAACACGGAATGCATCATTTCGCGGATTTCCGTATGCAATTTTGGTTCTTCTTCTTCCTTTTCAGTATTATCTGGATTTAAAGCTTCCTTCTGTTTAAGATATTCATTTTCATAAATTTGAGATAAACTTTCTTTACTTTTTTCTTGATTCAAAATCAACTTTTTCTTGTACTCTAAAGGAGTCTCAACTGGTTTAAACTTTTTTGAACATCATCCCAAGCTTTGTCCTTTATCCTTTGCTTAATTATATCTTCTAATTTAAGTGTTGTTTGTTCAGTAATCACAGGTGGAGGTCTAGTTGTAATATCAAATTCCACGAATTCTTCTAGTAAAGAATTCTGTGGTCTATTTGATGCACTAACTTCACCTTTCAATTGCCAAGGTTTCTCTGCAAGAGCTTCTTCTTCTAATTTTCCAATTTTATTTTTTAATCTCTCTTGTCGCATTTCTAGAGAAGATTTAATTTCTGTATCAACATTTTTATTGATATTTTTATTTTCTAAACTATCAGTTTCATCAGAATCATTTGTAAGATTAAATGTAACTTTCTTTTTGGAAGAACTTTTTTCTTCCATTTCATTATCAATATCTATTTCATTATCTGAATCACTATCTAGTGATTCCAATAATTCATTATCATCTAATAATTCATTTTCCTCTAATTCTTCATCATTTGTATCTTTATGTTGTATAGAATTATCAGGATTCTCATCTTCACTTTCTGGACTATCAAAAAAGTCTGCATATTTCAATAGTTTTGCTTCTTCAGTTTTATCATCATTATCAGAAAGATCATTGAATAAATCTACAGATTCATCATCAGATTTTTCCTCATTTTTTTCATTTTGTCTCTCTTTCTTTTCCTCTTTTGTTAAATATTCGTCTAGTTCTTCTAATTTAAAGAATTTGTCATCTACTATTGATGATTTTTTTTTTCTTCTTTTTACATCCTTCTTTTGTTTCTTTAAATTACTTTTAAATTCTTCATCATCCTCGGATGTTTCTTCTTCTATTATTTGTTCTTCTTTTTCTGATAAATCTTCTTCATTATTACATACAGATTTAGATTTAGTTATATTAATTGTCAACTTTTTATTTTCAGCTAAAGATTTAGAAACACCACCAATTAAGTAATCAAGTTCACCTTCATTCTGTAATTCAATTTGCTGCCAGATTTGTTCTTCATCAAAACCTTCTGTAACAAGTTCTGGTAAAGCATTTGTGTTTCTTTGTGTTTCTAATTTTGTAAAATCATATAAGCGCTTTAGGGAATTTTTAAAATCAACAGCAACTTCATTTTGTATGCTATAGATAAAATTATTATTGTTATTACTTTATAATAATATAGGTTAGAACAAAAAAAATGTTGAAAATATTATATATTTACCTTAAAAATTCTTCCGGTTTTTTAGTATTATAATCAATTGTATTTATAACGCTATTAAGTATTTCTACATCTGCCATATTATATGTTTACATTTATTTTTGAATTAACAAAAAAATATTTAATTGATAGGTTATATTCTCCTTTGTGAAGAAGTCAGCATTAGTTGCGGTTATGTTATAACATATATTTATGGTGTATCAATAATTATTAATGAATATCATTGATTGGTATTTAATTATTTTTCATTGAATATATTATTAACAATCGTTACTTTTTTAATATAAAATGAAATATAGACGTAATATTCAAGATAAAATTCCATTAAATATTAACACAAATATTAAATCAATTTTATATCTTGTGTAATAAAATATATATTTATTGATAATTTTAAATTAAAAATATTAGAAAATATATTTATGAAAATAAAAAAATTCTTATCAAGATTTATAGAAATAATAATAGATTTAAATTATTTATTCTCAAAAATATTATTTGAATTTCATTAAAATTATAGATTTATATAAAATATTACTTATAATTATTATATTTTTGTAATTTTCTATAATAATAATATGATAAAATACACAGAAATTTAAATTAAAACAATAAAAAATTTAATTCAAATTTTCGAAAGCCGCCAATAAAACAGCCAATAAAAACTAAATTTAATTTTATTCTCTGTTCATAGATGGCATGGTTTGGTCGACAATCTTTGTTAAGTGCTGCCGGTCCAACCGGAACAGCGGTGGGGTGAGTCCCAGAAGGAACTTCAGAACAGCTTGTGGAAGGGCGGCGGGAACTAAGACGAAGAACCGCTTGGAGTTCGAAGCCGCAAACGCATTGTTGCAGACCTCGGTACGGTTCACATTACCGCCAGTACAAAATTGAAGCGTGCGTTTTTTTTCAGTTCGTATCGTGTGCGCGTGTGTTTATTATATTTCATATCAAGTCTAAAGACAAAAACTAAGTGCTCTTTTAGTGAATTCAGTGTGTTTAGAAAGTGTGTTTGACATAGTGTTCCTACGGATTCGTCAGGTGTTTTTGCCTTTTGGATAAGTTTCGTACACACGTCGAAAAGGTATGTATTTAAAAAATTATCATTTTTTTTACGAAACAATTGATCGTACTGTGTGTCTTATTGAACGATCTATTCTGACATACCGTATTTGATTTATATTTGTAAGACATATCTTAGAAAGAATAATTTCATATAATGAATGAAAGAAAAGAAGAAAATTTTATAGTTTACATGTTAACCAAATTAAGATTTCGGATTTGTTTATCATCCTTGAACTGTTTAGTCGACACACAGAAAGTTTACGCGCGCAAAGGTCGATGGGTCACGTGGGACATTTCATATAAATGATTCAGTGATCTGTTTCGTCAGAAAAAAATCATCGTATAATAGAATTCTTATTTATTTAAGGTTTTTCTTTTATCATAATATTCTTTATGGAATGAACTTAATCGATTATCCTTAATCTTTTAGAGATTAGCAAAGACGAGTATCGCAATAATTTAAAAATTTTTTTTGAATATTCTTTTTATATTATTTTTTTGATATATTTATTTTTTTTTATTAATGATATTGTAGAGAATTATTTTATTTTGTTTTGTTTTATTTTGTCATATTGTTTCATTAAATAATTGATTAAGAATATTAAAAATAAAATTTATAAACTGTTTAAGACAGAACAAAGGATCGTATTCGATATCTAAAAATTGTGTAAAAATATTTCATCATTCCACTCGTATTAAACTTCATCTCTCAAGAATTTTTCCTTGTAATTCCATATTAATGACATTGTGATATACACTATTTATATCATAATTACTATTTTTAAAATTATTTTTTTTTTATATAATTTAATTTAATTCTTTATTGTTTTATTGATATAAACATATAATTAAGAACTATTGCTTTGAAATATCTTTCTTATTTAATTTTGATCAATAATTTTGCAATTAAAATTAATTACGATATTTTCATATATCTTCTTTTGTTTCGTTTCACGAATTTAAAAGTTGAATTTGATCCATTTTATCTAATAAAAAACTCGATATCGATTTCTTCCCAAAGATATCTCCACCATCAATATCCCTGTTCTTTGAAAAGCATTATCACGTGTACGTTTGTGTACAGTCATTCCGTTACGAGGTCAGAATTCCTCGCGGAGGAGAACTGGTCGTTTGTAAAGGTCGCTCGACGGACAGCTGGAAAACCACGCGCGCGCGCAGACTTGTATTCATAGAAGGGAGTGCAGACCGGTGGAGATTTTCTTTTTCCCCCCATAGTCGGAACAAGTTCTCTGTGTTCAAGCGAAACGATCATAACGGGGCGCTGGTGTCGTTGCACGTGAAATTGGAGCGGACTTCGATCCTTTCCCGAACGGTACCCGGCATTTGATCAGCATTAGCCCGTACGTTCCACGAGGAAATAATATTACGCTCGCGCACCGTCGTACTGCCTCGAGTTTCTAATGAGCCCCTCCAAGCTTCAACACTCGACCATCACTCTAGTCGACGAATACCGTAATTCTCAATGGATGTCGTTTTTTCTTCTTTCTCACTTCTTCCCTATCATTGCCTCTCTTTCTGAGAGTCGTTTTTCCTGCCTCCTCTCCCTTTATCCCCACCACTAGTTCTTTTTGCGTTCTCTCTACTAGTGGTTCCTTTCCATGAGCGTCTCGCGGCGAAAGTCGTATGCGTGAAGTTAGCGATGGGATTGACCTTTTGTAGGTAAATTTGTTTGGAATGCAATATGAAAAATAGTATTTAGATATTAGATATAATTTTAATTTAAAATTAATGTGATGAATTCATTTTTAATATAATTGGAAATGGAAATATAGAAATATAAAAAATATAAATATATATTAGGTTATGTAATAATTAAATGAGTTATAAAAGAATTATATTATTTAATAAAAGAAGACATTGATAAAAATAGTTTGTAATATTTAGAAATATTGTTCCTTTTGAAAAAAATTGATTTAATTTATTACATAATATAGATTGATGGATGACATAAATTTTCAAACAGAATTGTGAAATTTATAATTATCGATCAGAAAAATTATTAAGTATAAAAAAATATTACTTCTGAAACATTGTATTTGCATGATATGATTAAAATAGATTTAAAATACTTGGTTTGAAGACACTAGTATGCAAATATAAGCACAGATTAAATATCGTCCGGTTAGTATACTTATTGTCTTGCTTAGTCATTTCAAGGTCGTACTTCCTGAATGACCGAATTTCATAAAACATAATTATTGAATATTTAACATAAAAAATAAACAGGGAATGGAAAACGTCTTAAGAATAACGATACATGATCATATATGAATCACTGTGTACATGACTATACATAGGATTTATTTACAAGCAATGTGTACAATTGTTATGTATAATTCTTTCCAAGTCAAATAGTAACTTTTACATTAGTATTTCAGTGATTTCATATATATTACATACATAATGTATTATTTAATTAATTCAAACTGATTTTAATAATTAAATCCATATATAAATAAACACAAGTATATCATTCCCATCGCTATACAACATTAGTAGAATAAGAGTATTACCAATGAAACATATATTTCTCATACGTGCGCGCGGGCGCACACACGTTTTCTGGGGGAGTTGCTGGACCGCTCTAAAAGTCCCCTTTCCTCTCTTCATTTTTTTCGTTCACCGCGCGTAGCAGACGCGAAGAAGAGGAGAAGAGAGAAAGAAAAAGACAAAGAAAAAGATCCTTGGCAAGTCCTGGAACCCAAGACGAGCGAATAACCCAAGACTTCGGTTACATACTTCAAGGCTTAAAGCGTTATTCCTGCGTTCCATCAATCGTGGATTTACGAATAACCACTAGAAAAAAATTCTCACATGCTATATTATTGTGTTGAATATCGTCATCTACTATCAACCTGTTTCGAATTGCACGATGGTAGAGGAAATACTATATTAAACTAGAAAAAACTAGGAATTTAGAATACACGAATAATGAAATATAGGACAGTAGTGACTTACTTTTTTCAAATTAATAATATAAATTATATTTTAATTTGTTTTTGAAACTTTTTATAGATAAAATTATATTTGCAGATTTCTTTAAATTTTTAAGGTTTTAAAATAAGCTTTTTCTATAAAAAGATAGAACAAAATTTAATTTGGCGTGCATTCATTCAAATTTAATGATTTCAATTTATATCATCTTTCACAAATTGTTTCAATTTTTCGTATAGTTGTTTAGTTCAATTTTCTTATTCAAAAAATATAAAAATGAGAGATAAATTTTAGTCATATATCTTGAACGACATCTCTCATTGGCGTAATTAGTTGTAAGTTCTCCATACGTGACCTGTCGAAACGCGTTAACAGAATACGATATAAAGGAATGAAGTTTTATCTGGTGGATATACAGGGCGGTTGGACTCTTCTAGTAGATGGTCACGACGCGACGGTGAATGTAAAACTACCAGAACGCATGCAGGAATGTAGATTTTTCTTGTCAACTTTCTACACACTTCTGACGTCATTACTGGAATCATTGTCCAATACAATAAAAGATGTTTCAAAAGTTGAATGACAAATTTTCATTAATTATTAAATTTAGACAAAATTAAAAAAAATATATATATATATATATATATATATATATATATAGATAT